GATAGGAAAGGTAGCAGAATACAACAGTTACTAATAGGGCATTATGTAAAAATGTGAATGTGTAACCGATGTGATTCTGCAATCTGTATTTGGGGTAAAAATGGGAGTTCATAACCCACTTGAAACTAATGTTTGAAATATGATATGTCAAGAGCTCTGTAAGGTTTTGAACAACCAATAAAAAAAATATGAAAAAAAAAATTGAAGAGTTCCTGGGTAAAATGAAGGCAAAATTAACACCACCACAAATCCTAACAAGGAAATTCAAGATATTATTCTATGAAGAGCATCAACACCTGTGAGAAGAGGTTAATCATAGAGGCCTGGTGGAGAAAAGTAAAAGGCTGCTTCACTGAAGGTACTGAGAGAGTATGAGGCTCAGAGACTCTGGGGATAAGAATACAGCTTTAAAGATCAGAGGGGGGCGATGTAAATATGACACAGAGGAATAGGAGAAGGAAAAGGAAGAGCTCTGCTGGAGGCTTGCATCAGCTCCAAATACATCCTCCAGTGGGGCTGTCTGGAGAATGTCCAGGTGACCAAAGGAGGAAGGAACTCTGCCCAGACAGAGGAAGAGGACTCACATGGGGGACTTTAGAAGAAGAGGAATAGTAAGGACCATACCCAACTTGTGCTAGCCAAGGGAGAAGCTTGCTGGCCTCCTAGAGAATGTGTCCAGAGAGCTGAGGCTGGTAACAAAACTTCAAGATCTAGAACCATTTCTAAATTACAAAACACAAACTATTTGAATGACTATTTCTCAATTCTCCTAAAGACAGTACATAACATAAGCATTCTAGATGTGTCAGAGATTCTGCATATACATTGGAGGGCCTCAGTGTTGGCAAACTTTCTGTAAAGAGCCAGGAAGTAAATATTTTAGGTTTTGTGAGCCATATGGATCCATATGAACTCAGTCCCAACGACCTAACTCTGACATTGAATGCAGTCACAGGCTATACACAAATGAACGGGCAAGGCTGTATCTTAGAGCCTTCAGGATAAATTTCCTTAGGGGTCACAGGCTGAGAAAGGCTTGCTGTAATATAGATGCAGACTATCCTGTGGTAGGAGTGTTGCTCAGGAACAGGAAAGCAGCTCTAGGGACTAACTTTAGCTCCCACCTGCCTGTGCTCTCAAGCAGAGCCAACCTAACACACACTACATGGTTCAATAGGAAGAGACCATCCAAACAGGCCACTGCAGGGCTTGCAGACCAAGTGTCTAACCCTGGTTCAGGCCTAGAAGGGCTGCTGAGTGGCAGACACTCGAGAAGGCTAATGTCCATCCCAGCATTCATCTCAAAACAAGGAGCAAGAGAGACACAGTCACACAGTGGTTTTTTCATGACTTCAAGGAACACTGTACCTGTTCTTGTATTTATGTTTCTATCATATCACATAGATCTAGAGGGAGGAAAAAAAGATTTAAGTACCCAGCCAGCCATTTAAACCAGCTCTAGCTTTTTAGAAAAACAGATATCTGAATGATGGAATGGCACATAGGCAACCACACAGATGATCTCAGTAAGAAAGTTTGGGTGGCCTGCTCCTAACTGGAGATACAAGAACAAGGGGCTCTGGCTAAGGAAGAAGTGGAAGGGAGGACCATGTTTAATTGGAGCAAGCCCTTCAAAGGAGCTCTAAAAGTGAGAAGAAGGTAGAGGCGTACTCTTGACTTTTTCTAGTGCATATAGAGGAGGAACTGCTGGAAAAGGAACATCCTTTAGAATCATAAAAATTAGGAAAGAAATGACTCGGCTCAGTCAATAAGTACACCTGGACAATAGGAGGCAGATTTAAGAAGGAGCGCTATCCTGCAGAATGATATTCTGTGAGAGCAAAGCGTGATTCTCTGAAAACCATGTTATCTGGTGTACTGGTAGGAGTCAACTTGGCTACACATGATAGAAAGCCCCAAAGAAGAGTTACTTAACTATATGTACCCGTCTCACACATAAAAGATATACAGAGGAAAAGAGTCCAGGGCTGCCATAGCACTTTGAACAGCCAGGAACCTGGCCTCTCCCACTAGTTATTTTTCCAATATTGTCTATACATGGTTTATTCCTCATATTCCAAGAGTTGTTGAGTACTAGTCATAATGTCCACATTCCAGACAGCAGGAAAAAGGGTGTGCTCCCTCTCTTCAAGAAAACTTTCAAGAGACCTAAGTATGCAGGAATAGCACATAGGCAACTCACAGATGATCTCAGGATAGCTCCACTGGCCACCTTCAAGAAAAGCTAGCAAATGCAATATTGTTTCTCAGTGGCCATAGGCCCAGCTAAATATCAGAAATTCTGTTATTAGGAAAAGATCAGAAATGGATATGGGGAGCAACTAATTACAATCTCAAGTCACCTGGGCCGCCTACAAATAATTCTGTTGATGGTCTTGGCAAAACATTGGAAAAACAGCCACATGATGGAGGCTCACAATAAGAACATGGTAAAGCTCTTTATAGAGTTAAATTTTGCATAAGCACAACTCATTGTGCTTTTGCTACTGTTCTCTGCCACATGGAGTGAATTTCAGATAAAAAATAATGAAATTTCCAATGGTAAAAAGGATCTGCAGACCAAGGCAAATCAAGAAATTACATGAAAGCATCTGGAACTGAGTCAATCTTGCTTCTGCACTCAACTCAGATTTTAATTTTGTTAATGTGCTTTGGGTTTCCATGTAGTTCTTCTTCCATCTCCTTTTACAAAACCTTCCTTTTCATTACGGAGCCCTGCTCCTATAGCACAAAGGAATATTTCTTCACTTCTTCAAAGTACACTCAGCATATGTCTCCAAAAAGATTTTCAGTTTCTTATAAAAAAATGATGCTCTTAGTTATTAGGGCTATTCTTCCCTGAAGATATGCCAAGGCAGATCTTCATAGGTCCCCTGCTTCATCCTGTTCACTCACCACTGAACAGGAGCAGCACCTACCCAGGCTGAGAGTTTGTCAGAAGAGAGGGTCAAAGTTTCCTTAGCACCCCTGCACTGGAC